TTTGGGGGTCTAGGGGTTGTGGAGAAAAAGAAAAGAAAAAGTAGGGCTCTTGGTCATAGATAATATTTTTCCCCGTTTTTTCCCCTCCGTTGTATTCTTATTATCTGTTATACTTCTGCATAATTCCGCAACCAACGAAATATTTTACGCTCGTGTACCTCTGTACACTATATATATCTAGTTGCTCCCCACACAAGTTTCTATCAACACTGCCGAAGTATGGTGAATTATGAAATTGGGCCTCCCTGTTGTAAGGTCGAAACTTTATTTCTCGCGCTTCGATGCCAATTTATCAGTAACTAGCAAAAACTTCATGGGCCCTGATATCTGCATTTTTCTACTCTGTACGGAGTACATTATCTTCCAGTTTGGGGTAACAGCCCCTCCCCAATTGGAACCCGTGGGGAGTCGGCACCCACTGGCTGGAGCACAACACGTGACAACCGTAACTAACTCAGCTACACTCATCCCAGCCGCCTCCATCCCCTCACCACGGCTCTCGCGTCTCCAGCATCCCACGAATTCCCAAGTCCAAGGCCCAAGCTGTTGGTAGCACAAGATTTCCTCACATCGATCGTGGTTTGCCGAGGGCAACGATTGGCCTTTCTAGATCTCCATGCTGGCCGTGAGGCCTGTATGTGCCTAGCACACCTGACTTCCACCCCTGCTGGGGTTGTCAGCATTCCAAGCTTGTCGTCTTAGACACGCCACAAGCCGCAAGCCACTTAGGGAATGGCAAATACGACATAGCAAGGACGGCACAGATGTGATACGTCGAATTACTCTCCCGGTTTCTTCTGTAAGAGCTTGAAGCCGCAGCGAATCATGAATAATACACACAACACACAGACTTCCACTTCAACGAATCAACCAAACATTATGCCATTCAGACCTCTCATAATAATACCAGGGATGGAAACTGGCTGCCAAATCACGCGAGGCTTGACAGATTTTCCACCAGACCCCTAGACTGAATTGTAATGTTAAGTACCGTGGTCAAAAGATATATTATTCCTACTAACTCAACTAAGAAGTTGTTGGAATTCGGAGTCTTGCCCAAACCGGTGGTAAACTGTGAACTGTGATGTCTATCTTTACGGCTATTTCATTCAATTCAGCCAGCCCATGGTGTATCAGCCCTTGTCTGAGTTAGCTGAACATTCTCTAGCTCTTCCCCCCTGCCCAAAAAGAACAGGTTGTGAGATGATATGAGGCGAGGGAGATGCGAGGGGAAGCGATGCCAACCACAATGAGATCGACCTTCGGGACACAGGAGTCAAAGTGTTAGCGGGAAAATACACGTTCGAATGTACGCGGCGTAAAAAATACTGCGGAACAGCACGCTAAAACAAAATACCGAAGACCTAACGGTGGCTGACGCCCAGGCCAATATCTGCATGGTGTGACTTTAGGGGGAAGCGACTTGCATGAGTTTTCTGTTATTCGTGACAAACTTACTCCGTACATACCTATTCAGAAAAGCGCAATTAGAAATCCTATGGATTTTCACTAGCCGAAGAAGGTTATCTCCAAAAAAAGTACTCTGTACCATACAGGCACATTCCAGATCCAAATACTTGTGGTTCCATTTTTTGCTGGATGGCTAGCTGTTTGATCGACGGTCGGTATTCTATCACCGGGATGCAGTCAGTCTCCTGACAACAGCATTCTTGCCAATGACTTATCACACCCCAAGCCGGGGGTATTTACTAAATTACCAGCAGGAAACTATCTCTTGTTATATTCTTTTCATCGGTTTATGCCGTTGATTCCTGAAACCCGAGCGATCGGTTCCAAAAATTGTCCTTACAAAAGAACAAGCTGGGGTTTGGGGGCATGGCTGGGCAGTGGGTTCGCCATAGCTCCGGCCTAATCCTCGGCAGACTGGGTAAAACCGCCCGGCCGGGCCCCCGGGCGCCGTCTGATTGGGTTGCAGTCCATCTTCTTTGTTGTCATTTCTCCACTCAGGTTCACTGGTTGCCGTTGTTCGAAGGGAACGGAAACCTGATTACCAACAGTGCGTAATTGGGTAATCTGCGGGACTGAGAGCATGACAAGTGGTGACAAGATGCTAGCTGTATTGTTGCTTTGGCCAGGTCGTTACGACGGAAGTTCCAGCAGTTCCCTTCGAATGGCTAGCTAGCCTAAGCTAGACCTACCTTGTCGGTCTCCCTGAACAGAATCGCCAAGACGTCCTCTCCTGGTGTTTTATTTTTCAAGACCTTCTGTCATAATGGTGCGCTGTGTTGCGGCAACCATGACGATGATACAGTGCCGTCGTTTTTTCATTACCTCATACTCTGGGTATTCTACTCTGTAGGGTCCTGCAGAATTCAAGGAGGTCCACTTTCAGTTGATGGACCTGTCTCCTCTGCATTCCCCTGTCCACTTACCGCTAGCCTGGTTCGATAAACTTTTGTGGCTGATCAAGGGTTGTTCGTCTCTCAGCAGAGTGCCACTCACTCCTCCCTAGTCAATTATTGACGCATTGGCGAGAGACGGCCGCCTCGAAACCAGCGGCTCTGTGCACAACAGCTTGAATGGTTTTGGCATGCTCCGCTCTTCCGCCCTTCTTCCACTCTTTCCTTTTTAGATCTCCAGTCCTCGCACTCGTCTCCTCTGCTTCCTTCACTCTCATCTTTTGCTTTCGTTTCGCCAAACTCGATAATAAGACCATGGAGTCGGTACCTTCCTACGTTTGATGGCTTGCTGCAAAACATTGGATCCTCCTCACCGAACCCCCTACTTGTTCTCAAACTCTCCTACTATCTCTCCACCCCCTTTCATAGAAACATCAGCCAACATGAAGAATTCAATACCATCCGAAGTTTGGGAAGGCAAACGTGCTGAAATTGCAGTTCTTTACAAAGAAGAAGAATGGCCTCTGAAACAAGTCATTAAGAAAATTAGAAGCGAAGATTTTAACCCGACGTAAGAATTTCCTCTCGTTCCCCCCGAACCTGCTCTGTGCACTAACTTAAGCCGCCCCAGTGAAACCCAACTCCGCAGTAGATTGAAGAAATGGGGAGTTACCAAACCATCGCGCCAAAAGAGGAAGAAGCAGAGCGACGGATTGACCACATGCGCTACCGCCAAGCACCCAAATCGGTTAGAATTGACCACGGTGAACGAACCATCGTCAACTCAAGCGGCATCTTTCCCCAGCAGGGTCGGATGGGATGATCCGAAAGGATGGATAGTGCCATCAGGATATAGCCAACACCACTTGCTGAAAGAATCACCATTGCTCGAAGGACAATCAGGTTCAGCGGATTGGACCTCGTCTAATAGTATCTCCAATAACATCCATCCACCATTCTTGCTACATCATTTCCCAACCCCATCGCCGTTATCTTCCGTCCATTCCTATGGGCATCCGAACCCTACCATAAGCTCTATAGCAGATAGCGCCATAAATCAACCCATGGAATGCCACTCAAGATTTACGGGTTCTGGGACCAATATTTCCGTGAGCGATTCGTTCGTGAAGCCGTATCCTGGAGAGTGGTCATTACAGACAAGTCCTGTCAATACAGAAAACAATCCGATGACTCCATGGAGCTACATTACACCTGATGTATCCCAATCATGCCCATCCCATCTCTTTGCCTTAGGTGATGGAAGCGCCGCAGTTCCAGACTATACGGAATATAATGAACCAACCCCCAGTGAGGATTATGCTCAACAATATGGGGGTTCTCCAGCACTGTCACCTAATTCTGAGCTAGAGTTGCTGCAGTCGAATCCTGAAATCAAGGCTTGGAGACGTGCTGCTTCCACACATGTTCACCCGAACGGGATCGAGACAACCAATCCAAGGGTCGGTCGTGATCCTCTAAGACGACGTCGGCCAGAAGTGAAACGTAAAAGGATTCTGCATCGGCAAAACAACGCCTGACCACCAGCCAATCGCAGTTTGAAGTTTTGAACCAATCTGCTATGCATCTAAATACTTCCCTCCCGATTCCAGAAGCAATTCTAGCAGCCGAAACGCGCTACCTTCGGGAACTGATATAAACCAAGAATATTCTTCGCCGAACCCGTAGTTGAAATCTAATCTCGAGTTCGGCGAATTGAGTCAATCCGGTTTCATCGAAGGCAATTTTATCTATAATTTTGCCTCGGATGAAACGGGATCACCTGTCCTTAAAACTATTTCGTTGCAACATACTTTTCCTGCTTTTCAATGAGCATTCAGGTACATGATTTGCGATTTCATCAAACACATTTTGTCTATTTCGAGTCCTTGGAAAAGTCATGGCGGATTGGTACTTATATGGGATATTCAACTATTGTGGAACATTTGCGACTCGCTTTCACGGTCGCCTCTCTTTTAATTTCTTGTGCAGAGTAAGACAGTTTACATTTTTGTGATCCGCTCTTTTTTTCTTTCATTTTTATTCTTATTTTCACTTGTTACATAGGGTTCTGGATGGGATAAATTTGGAATGGCTGGGACTTTGGGATATTATGGCATTTGGATATGACAATCGTTCTCTATATATACATAATATATCTATATATATGTTGCCGTCAGTATTTAATGTATCCCTACTTACCTTGTTCTTTGAATTCTGTTCAGGCTGTTGCTCCTCGAGCTGGATAACATACTTGCATCCGTATTCTCTAAGAGCAATTATCGCTCACATCATGTCTAAGGTAGTACAACAGGGAGCCTTACCGACTTTTTGTGAGCCATTGGCGCTATCAATTTCCCCACTTACTAGATACAGATGATGAACTAGAAGCCTCTAATTTTCCTTCTCCCTCAAACGTGTTATTCAAAACTTACATGCTCTGCCGACATCAGTACCCCTTTGCTGCTTTACTGCCTTGGTATGCTATCTAGATTGATCTGATCTTCCTGAGGGGCTATGCAGCTACCGTGCTACCGTCACATCCACGGTTCGCCACAACACCCCGACCTGTTGACTGGGTGATTCGCAGCTCATCAAGCAAAGCCGCTCGCCATTATATGCGATCATTCAAGCTAGTGGCCCCCTCTATCAACCACGAAGAGGGTATCTACGCCTAGTATCTTGTCTGCAACCAGTATGGTACTGTACATAAGAGTACATGAACTGCACACGCAACCTGCACGCAGTACATGCCTAGGCTCGCCATATGCGCAATCGTCCGGTGCGAAAGGAGAAAGCCATGTCATTTCTCCGCATGCAAAATAACGCATGTGTATTCGTACATACATGATCTCCACAAGTCGGTCCAGATCGGGTTTCATGCCTGAAGCTTTCTTATTGTTTTGTTCTCGACTCTGTACGGAGTACACGGGCCCGATATCCCTTTTCCCGCCCGCGATTCGAAATCTTCCACTTGGTTTCCTCCCTCGCGCCGCCCGTGAAGAACCCATTGATTTAAAAGATACCCTGTTCTGCGGGGCCGAATCAGAACTTCGGACAAAATATGTACAGAGTACCGTACAGTACATATGTCAGATTCAATGGAATCGCGTAATTAATCCTAAAATAGCCCCCCTCCGTGTGCAGTACATTCAAAGCTCACTAGACTGACAAGTGGACTAACCAGTTAAACGGTGCGCAACGCAGGTTCAGAGGAGAGCTGAGAAAGTACGAAAAGTAGCTTCGGGCTGACGACAGTGTTCCTTCTTTTGCCTTTTACCATTGACACCAAGTGGAGAAGAACAGAGACCGTTTCGCTGGCGTCGTGGAGCTGTTGCGGGATCGAACTTGGCAACACCCGCCAGATCCACTTATGAAATGTATGAGCATTGAGGACTCAATGAGTAGCAGGCAGTCAGTCCACTCCTCGTTAGTTAACTACCTAGGTAGTTAGTTACCGAGTCACTAGTGATCTGCTAGTTTGTTGTGCTTAGTGCTCACGAGTCTTGCCGATCGACTGATCTGTTTACCATCAGGTTCCACTTCAACTCGTCACGATTGCACCAACCACCGATTCGGAACTAAGCAGATCCTCTGCTCGGCACGGTCAGAATGCCAACAGCTCCAGGTTCTATCACGGTTTTTCAAAACGCTTGCCTCGCTAATGCAACAATATTCAACAACCATGATGTATTTTCAGCTGATAGGGTACATATAATCTTCGGACGAAGTTGAAGGTCTTTGCTTGTTCAGTTAGAGTTCGTTGGGTACATCGAAAGTCATCAGCCATGTACGTGTGCAGTACTCCGTACACGGTATCGCCCAACATACCGAAAGCTACCTGCGAAAACGGCAAGTTATGAATCGGATGTGCTAAATGCAGTGGATATAGAACTTCAAGTTCCGCACCATCTGCGTTTAGCGCCCTGTTCAAAGCTGGTAAATGTCAAAATGCTCCTATTCTCATTAAGGCTCACTCCGCGCGAACGGACGCAATGGTGCCACGACCGTCCTGTCCCGCCATGATGAGGAATGTCTGAATATGGATCCCGTCAGGAGGCAGTTTGTGGCTTGAGATGACGTTGAATTCTCTAGAAAGATTCTCTAAAGAGCTAGACGCGCTAAAATCGCTGCAGATTATTAATTACTCGTGCCAAAAACCTCATGCGCCGCCTAAGAGCTAGTTTTGTACAGTCCAATGTACTCCGTATATTCTATTGAGATATAAAAATACAATTTGTTGTCAAAATAATCCATAGAAGAGTGTAAGTAGCATAAAATAAAAGAAAAATATTGGCAATTGGAGGGTGTGTGATGTATTTGACGAGGTTTATTTTTAACTCAATTGGAAACTGGACGACAGAAAAGCTCCCCTCAACCAATCGATATCTCCGTACTCCGTAGAAACGATTTTGTCCATGACAAGAACGCACATACCAAGATCATTGGAGTGATAGATCTTCCGACCCCCCGCCCCCCCCCCCCCCCGGCGACAGGGATTTTCTTCCCCTGGCCTGTTGATGAATAGATGGCGCAGCGACACGGGCCATTGGGCTGAGATTAATCGAGATCTACATTGCAGAAACGCCCCAATAAAAAGGAAACATAGAAAGGAGGGATGGATGATCTGGATTGGGAACATGTTCTCGCTGGCGCTTTTCTTCAGAGAGGGCGACAAGGGCATTGATCTGAGATGGCTGGCTGGCCGCTGGCATCACCGGAGCTCTAGCTCCATAGCCGTCTGCCCCGAAATACTCCTGAGGGATTGTGATGGTCGAGCGGGAATTAGTGGCAAACCTTTTACGTACCGCCGCCTATCGCTGCGGGCGGGAAATGTCAAGAAAGCCCTGGATCTAGCCACGTCAATCCTTGTCGTGGTGGGCATGTTGAATGCGCGAAGCTTACGGTTGACAGGAGCATCTACGCATAGATATCTGGAATGCTTACAGTTGTCACGAGAATCTATCCTGATGCATTGGCTCGTATTTAAGTATCCGATCTCATCAGGGGTCCCCTAGTTTAAACTCGGAGCAGGCCTTCATGCTCCAGTTTAGTCCATACGAAGTTGGGTTTAACATGATTCTCAATGCATTTCCTATGTGCAAGAGAAAACTTAAAAAAATTTCTGATACCAAGGCTTCTCTACGGACTGTACTCCGTACAACATCACCATAGCGTGCCCACCGTTTACTCAGCTGCATAAGAGCACTGGCTCCCGATTCCATGTACTGTACATACATGTACCTCAGGCAGATGATTTTCCGTGCCGAGTTCCTCCTATAGGCTCCCATAGGCGGGTCATGATCTCCACTCTAGCCAAACATCATCTGCAGTGGCTCTGGAGGAAGTCTCTTGGTTGGCTTGAGACATGTGCACATACAGCGTGCACCCAGCTCCCCATGGATTCGTGGAAGGAGGGTACAGCCAGCCACTGTCAAATGCTGAGGGGAGCTCCGATATCGTCAAATCCGCTAGTTCAGTACCGTACCACCCTTGTGCAATCAATCGATTTGGATGGAAGGAGGGAATACTATGCATGTAGGTTTCTGGAGGCAGAGTGGGGGAACCCCTTGGCGTCTGACCGGGTTGCGATTCCTGTAACTAGCTTACAGGCGGTAACAGTAATGAACACGGTAACTTAACTTTCGAAAGATGCTACTCAGCAAACACCATCTTCGACCAAGAAGTTTGAATATTTTGCTTGCCAAGCGGCAAAGATGAAATCGGTTAATCGCCCCCATGCTGATTTAACAAGCTTGACATCATCGGACAAGCGAAACCATCAAATAATTGAAATTATTTAAGGCCAGAGCCTGGGAAGGGAACGAGAAAAGGGTCCAGACCCGACGACCCTAGCATCGGAGCTATGGCTACCGCGCTATGCGCTCGGCAGCATCGCTTAAACCAACAAGTATTGGTATTATTCTGGAAAATATCAGCAATCAGACGCCTTTCTAGCCAGTGTTTCGAACACCTCCTACATGTTCACAGAGATTCTCCGGAATCCTGTTGTCCGTCTTTGGATTTTGAGAAGCCAATAGAACGGGGTGCAGCGTAAATGAGATCGACCAGAGACAATTCTTGCCATGCCAACTTTGTAATTGGTGTCCGTGGAAGCTTCTCCTATTTGTTAAATGGAAGAAGATATACCGCCCGCTGAGTAACCACGTCAGCTATTCAAAGCCGGGATATTGAGGCCTTGATTTTGTTGCCTTCCCTATCAAGGACCAGGTCGTCATTTTCATCCGCACTCCCGCCGCGTTTTAGTCCACTTCCTTGGAAAACGGTGCAACTTAAGAGGCATGATAAGGCGCACATATTGGCTGTACCACGAGTTCTGTATGCCCGGAAATGCGGAGTCAAGCATCGGAAAGCAACACCCGAGAAACGCACTGTGCTGGCTAGTAAGCACCTCAGTGTTCCACCGCTGAAATATCAACGGTCAAGCCTGTTTTCCTTGATTTCGCCACTGTTTCCTGTTTGTTCGTGGCCATTCGAGTCGCCATGCTGGACACTGAAATGAAACACCACACATAGCGAATGAACGAGCTGCCATGTGTCTGCCTGAAGGGATATTTGACGAAATAAAAAAAGTTAAAGTGCACTCCAGAGGCTCCTAATTCACCCAGGCGTAAAATAACTGACTCCTTGCTTGACGATTGGAGTGATGTTTGGCTTTCTGCCCGCCATAGACCAAAAGGGAATAATGGTTCCGATGAACTCATAGTTTGGTATGGCAGTCTCCTGCTTCATCTGGCTGGTTTATTAACTGTTGTTGAAACGTGTGGTTAACAATTGAAAACCCCGCCGCGTCTAATTAATATTACTAGCGTTTTTGATGTGGACAATATGAGCATCTGTCACAAGTCCTTTGTTTCCGAGAATTCGAGAACTCAGGTACGGAATGAGAGAAATCTAAAAGAGATCGTTGGCAAAAAGCTCTTTGAACGGGATTGCGCGAGGTTATTGCCCTCTTTTTTTTTTTTTTTTTTTTTTTTTTTTTTTTTTTTTTTTTGCCCTTCAGCCAGTTGGAGCAGGATCTAATTCCCCGAAGTCATAATGAACGAAATAAGTGGCTGTGCGGTTGTGCCCCATGATAGCGGCGCCTAACCTTGCAACGCCGATCACAGCCTAACCTCCCATGTCGCCATGCGCCAGGCGCCAGAACACTCCCATGTTTTGCCATCCAAAGGCGCGGTGGAATATTCATAAGTTGCCGATTGCGTACTTCACTCGGTCACCGCTCTGGGTACTTTCTAAAGCGGACCGGCCCCCGAGAACCTTTAGGAAGTCGCAGCTTCACACGGGGGGAGACGAGCATGAAAATTTCCGGCTATCCAGTCATTCTAATTGGGCGACAGCTGTTCACTGTGGAACGGACATTGACCCAACCGACCAAAAACATTCCTTCCAATGGAAAGTTACTCTCAATATATCTATCAACCTCTTCCACCCATTACCCCAGTCGGCAAGACGCCTCCTTTTACCCGCTTGCTTCTCCTGAGTTCTGGCCAACAAAATGAGCCACTTTGCGGCAGTCTTATAATTCATGCTTTGGACCCCGATTTCGCACCCATACTGACTTACGAGGCTCTTTCTTATGTTTGGGGCACGGAGACAGAACAGACTTCCATTTACATTGATGGACGACCGATTGCCATCAAGCCAAACTTGGACGCTGCGCTCCGAAATCTCCGCCTACCAACACAGGCAAGGCGGCTTTGGGTTGACGCGCTATGCATTGACCAGTCCAATATAGAAGAGCGGTCGAGGCAAGTAAGATATATGCGATTTATGTACAAGCATGCTACACGGGTCGTGGTATGGCTCGGGTCCTGGACTCCAGGCGTGGAAATGGCTTTCGAGCTTGCAGAGCGACTGGCAGTTATACGAGAGCGTTGTGGTACGGATAAAGTTGCTCTGCAAAATGCTGTTGTCGAAGTAGCTATGGGAGCACCGGAGGCGTTCCATCACCTCGACCAATTGTTTGACCAACCTTATTTCATCCGAAATTGGTGCATACAGGAGGTTGTTGCAAGCAAATGGGCTATAGCTATGTGTGAAGGGCTGGAGACGAACTTCTTTGACATCATTGCGACAGCCCCGTATATGTCTTTGAAGAGGGACCAGATGCTTGGGATGCCATCTGAATTCTGGAATATGATATTTATGCTCCGACAACCTTCAAGCGGATTTCGCGGTGGAGCTGTCGAGGGATCATTGGGTTCTCTAACGTTGCTGCTAGCGACGACTCGAGATTTTAAGGTTACAGATCCACGTGATAAGGTGTTTTCAATATTGGGGATATCCGATGAAGGCTTGGAGCCAGCGACAGCCTTTACGCAAACCATGTCGTCCTCGGACCACAACCCAGCGCTCATGCTATACCGCCGATTTGCAATCGGCGTATCAAAGCGCATTAATAGCCTCGGCCCAGATGTCGATGTCCTAAGACCCAAGGCGTTGCGGCCTGATTACAGTAAGAATTTGCTTGAGGTGTACAGAGATCTCACCAGATTTTTAATCAGGAAGAGCCCTCGGGTTCTCAATGTATTGGCGCATGTGCAGCACACCGAGGACCCTGCCCAAAGCGACTTCCCCTCCTGGGTTCCGAAATGGTATCAACCTCGTCAGTGCAGTGTTTTCGACGTAGGTTGCTTTCTAGCTGGCTTCTGCGACGGCCATTTTCGTTACTTCGCAGAAGCTGAGGATATGCCTCTCTCAAAGGAACCTCTTCGGCCGAACTCGCTCCAATTACGCGGATTCCACGTGGATAGGGTTAAATCTGTCAGCGAGGTGTTGGAATACAGTCTCACTGGCCCATTTCCCTTTCAAGACTTGTGGGGCCAAGTGTTCAGCTTCCCGATAGACCAAGCAGAGATGCCTTTGTACTATGACAAAACCCCTCTGGTAATGGCATTCTGTGCTACATTACTTGCGGCTCCACTGGGAGCATCAATGGGGAACCTTGAGCTGTTGACTGGTGACACGAAAGGTCTGACAAAAGAAAGGTTCATGCGGCAGGGAGAGGCAGATGCTGCTGTGTACCTTCTGTCCAAGATCTTCACATCTGATAAAGTTTCAATAAAATACGGCCCTCAGGGTCAGAATCTGCTTGATCACCTCTGCAGCCTTGCCACAATTGATGTAGGTGAAAGTGGAGCTGATGCTGAACGCTTTGAACGTGGTGCCAGGTCTATATGCTTCCATCGCCGCTTCTATGTAACAGAGAGGGGCTATCTAGGTATTGGTCCTCAGGTGATGCGTCCTGGAGACGAAGTCTGTGTGCTTTTTGGAGGCCGGGTTCCATTTATTTTGCGCCGAATTCCTGACCACCATCTCTTAATTGGAGACACATACATCCACGAGCATGCTGTCATGTGGGGGAAGGTTACTGAGGGCATCAAGCGTCGCGGAAGGACAGATATCCCCGTATTCCTATATGAAATGAAATGAGATGAGAAAATATTATGCCTGTGTTTGACGTGCCATATCGGACGGTGCCAGTATTTCCCCTTGTGCAAATAGGCTCTATGTCCTTACTCCTTACTCCCAATAATGGGATGATTCGTTGGTTATTGTAGATATTTAGTGTTAAGGGCAACGTATATCTATATTTCTTTTCAAATGTGGTTGAGTCGCCCTCTATAGGGCCCCAAGAAAGAAGTATGTAGCCCCTTAGCAAGTAATGCTGTCATACCCCTGGGAAAAATGAGAGTATGTTTGCTTCATAACTAGGTAGTTCTCCAATAAACGGATGGCTTTAATAGGGGGCGAGCAAACTTGGCCCCGAACTCGCCCTTTGCCGGTGAACCTCGGCATCTCCAAGCTTGCAAAAACTCGGTCCGAGTCCCCAATCACTCGGAAGCTACGGGGACGAGAGACGTATTTCAACAGAGAAATTTAGGCTGGAGTGTCGGTTTCTTTGTACAACCCAATATCAAAAGTGCTAGAGATACTAATTTCTTTGCCTTTTCCCAGTTGAGCTTTATTCCCTAGTACTCCTCTCTCCCTATCAAGCTTCCCTAGCAAGGCCGATATCACAATGCGCGCAATCCAAGTAAGCGAGTACGTTAAGGTGTGTACGAACAGCTTCTATACACAGCAAACTACGACCCTTGTACTCCGTATATATATATATTCTGGTACATATGCTGAAACAATAAACACTAGGGGCCCCTCGACCTGACCGTCACAACCCTCCCAACCCCCTCCCCCTGCCCAGGCAAGTACCTCATAAAAATTCACTCAGCCGGCACGAATTTCTTCGACCTCCTTCAAATCCAAGGCAAATACCAACACCAGCCACCTCTGCCATGGATATCCGGCATGGAATTCGGCGGGACAATTCTGAGCACCCCGACCGCCGCCCGCTCACCAAAGTTCAAAGTAGGCGATCGCGTCTTCGGAGCCACACAGGGCGCGTATGCTACACACATTCTTGCCCTCGAAGGCGCGCTGCGACCGGTTCCCGAAGGCTGGAGCTTTGAGGACGCAGCAGGCCTCTTCGTCACCGCGCCGACCTCCTATGGTGGCCTGGTAACGCGTGCGAACGTGCAGCCGGGCGATTGGGTACTTGTGCACGCCGCAGCGGGCGGGGTGGGGCTAGCTGCTGTGCAGATCGCAAAGGCTAAGGGGGCTACTGTCATTGCGACGGCCGGATCGGAGAGGAAGAGGCAGATTGCCAAGTCGTTTGGGGCAGATTATTCGATTGACTATAAGGATCCCAAGTGGACGGATGCGGTGAAGAAGCTGTGCGCGGAAAAACGGACGGGGAATGGCAAAGCGGGCGTCGATATTGTGTATGACCCCGTGGGGATGATTGATCAGAGTCTCAAGTGCGTAGCGTGGAATGCGCGGCTGTTGGTGATTGGGTTTGCGGCGGGGACAATTGAGAAGGTTGCGCTGAACCGGGTGCTGTTGAAGAATGTTAGTATTGTGGGCTTGCATTGGGGTCAGTATGCGAATTTCGAGAAGGAGACTGTGGGAGTGGTGTGGGATGGCATTTTTGAGTTGATTAGGCAGGGCAAGTTCAGGGGAACAAGCTTTACGGATCAAAGCTTTGTTGGTTTGGAGAGTGTTCCAAAGGCGTTGCAGGCGCTTGGGGGACGGGAGACCTGGGGGAAAGTCGTTGTTAAGATACCCGACGAGGATAAAGGAGTTTCAAGCAAGTTGTGATTTTGTAAAGATTTTTGACGGGATATTAATAGGTTGGGATGACTTTTTTGCATGACTACATTGGTTATACATACGAATAGAATTGTTAGGTTACTGTTCAATAGAGGTGGGTATTCAGAGCTCAAGGCAGCGAGTGTAATATATTTTATCGTCCGGAATTGTAAATAGTGTCAATACCACCAAAGATAGACAATAATACTGAATTAACAACCGGATAGCTATGCACGAAATGTAGAGACGCAAGGAGTCATGCTCATCTGTGAAAACGCCATTCTACCCCAAATTGGGGAGAAGACTCAGAAAACATGAACTATGAAGGTCCTTTGAAAGGTAATTTATTCTCGCAAAGCAAGCAAAAACGAAACATATAAAGAAAACAATACCACCCTGTACCTTTTCAACCCGTGAGATCCAAGGAAACAAGAGTGAATATCCTTTCTGAACATGTGTATGATGCTTGGTGTCCGAAAATCCAGCTCCAGCCAACATGCACACAAGACGTGTAAGATATGCCGACTGTCCTTCGTGGTTTGAAGGGTTCGTGAACTAAAAAGGAAATAGGAGGAACAGCTGGATCTTGGGCAGAGCTATTGTGCTGACGACCGCACGGCGCCGCGGGCGTGCGCCTGGGAGTAGAAAAAAAGACAAGGCACATCCTCCCTGGCACTCTCGCTTCCACGGCTCGTGTTGAATCCAAAAAGATATCCTTCCAAGAAAATACGCCCAGGAACGATTTTATTGTTGTTTCTCGTATCCAGTGACAGGCAAGGCAGCCTTGAGACCCGCACCGAAATGCATGGCGGTTGACGCTGATTCGAGTTCATAGCTCCATTTGCCTTAAGTTGTCTTTGACGGCTTGGGTAGATCGCAGAGCCTCACTGTATCCCACGATTCCCATACTCCGTCAATATCAACTAGGGTAACGCCCATGGCAATCTTTGTCCCACGTTATACTATGGGCAGTACAGGTTTGGTTTGCGGGTATGCAACTGGGGGAGGAAATGATTAGCGTTTTTGCGGGGGAAGGTACGGTTAGCCTATCTTCTAGAAACATTACTGAATTCTGCAGCATGAGGAAGAGGTTCGATTTGACACACTGGCGGTGGTATGTAGTGCAGTGCAGCGCAGTGCAGTGTTTTGTGGGGATGGAAAAAAGAGAGAGAATTTGTGTGCGAGACGGTTGAAATTTTGGCTTTGGGCGGCTCTGCTGTGTTTGCTATGTTTGCTTGAGCACGTTCGAATTATAATTTTTTTATCTCCACTTCTTGTCCCAACTAAAATAGTTACATAGCCAACTATCGCAAGAGGAATTGAAGAGATGCAGACGATCAAAGAACGAATGGAATGAATTACCGCGCCCCTCTGATTGGCGGAGGGCTCTGCGTCTCGCAGAAGCTGTTTACTTTTTTATATATTCGATCAGGCTCGCAATGACATAACAATGCGTGAGACAGACGCGAGCAAATAATTTTTTACATGTGTGGCTGTGCGCTATGAGACGCCGTTGGGTCGTGACCAACATTATTCAAAGCATGGGAACTTACAGATTAGACGAAGAAGTGAGAGAGGGTCCTACCTAGGTATGACTGTCCCGTGAGAAACCGAATAATGGAGCGGAAGTGGAGGGCAAACCTGTCAATTCACCATATTTACTGTCTGATGCAATAATAATATTAGGTAATTATGCCCGTATAATAATATTTAATACGGAGTATGCTGGGCCAAGACGCGACTGATCCCCTTGAGGCAGTGCTGAAAGAAGTTGTTGAACTTGGGCTATTTATTTAACGAGCGTACGTACGTACACTGAATAGGCGCCCTTCCTAGCACGGACTTGCACGGACTTGTTCTCCGGGTATTATCGTCGCCACTTCCTCAGGGTTAAGTCGAATGCGCCCGATCATAGAATAATATATAGACCTATTCAAGCCTGCTCTCTAACAACAGATAACTTGGGGCATATCTTAAAAGGATTACATAGTTATTTTGTTGTATCCGCTGCGATCATCCTCGCCTGTCGAAACCATGAAATTTTCATACACTCTTGCGCTTTGCGCTCTTCTTTCGCTCTCCTCCACAGTTGCGCCGCGCAATATCATATCAACATTAGACGTCAATGTTTCAAGCATGGATGCTCCAGAAGGTTTTGGCCCGTCCCTCGTCACTGGCAACCTCCTACAAAAACGTAGAGGAGGAGGCGGTGGAAGGGGCGGCGGTGGTGGAGCACGCGGAGGCGGAAGGTCTGGCGGAGGAAGCGGAGGCCGCAGTGGTGGGGGAGGACCCAGAGGTGGTGCAGGGGCCGGAGGCAGGGGAGGTTCAAGCTCACCTGGTGCTAGAGCTACAAGGTGTGCACATATCCGCGTCAATATTCTTACCAGTTGTTGTGAATACGGATATTTTGCTGACTCCCCACTCTTCCCTTTTGAACAGTAACCTAGGCGGTTCTTCACGAACTGGCTCGGGAACCCCCCGCACATTTGGCGGAGGCAGCTACTATGCCGGTGGTGCCTCAGTCCCATACACAGCCGGTAAAACTTCGCGGAGAGGACTGCTCCCATTCGCCTTCCTCCCTCTCGCCGCCCTCGCCTTCTTCCCCGGCTTGTGGCTCTGGGGCGCCCACGCCTACCACATCGGACACTATAACTATCGCAACACCTCCGACCCCAACGCCAACGCAACCCAGATCCCCATTGAATGTCTCTGTCAGCGTTATAGCGTCTGCGGCTGCGAGGAGAACGATAACGCGACCTATATCAATGAGCTGCTCAAGCAGAAGGATGAGCATGGCATGCCGACGAATACAACGACGGTTAGAGTAGTGCCCAAGGATGATGGGCCGACGACTATCTATGTCAATGGCAGCTTGGCCAATGGGACCACAAATCCAGATCCGTCCATCCCGGAAAACAGCGGGGTACCCATTGTTTCTCCTACGCTATCGAAACTGGGTGGCTATTGGCTTATAACTTCGTTGGTTGTTGCGGCTGTGACGTTGATATGATATGATATGATATGCGACGAACGTTTATTCACTTTTTCACCCCCAATCCCCCACTTTTTGCTTCTTGCTATCCGCATTTGAGCCTGATAAATTGCGGCTTGGGATGATACCTATTTGCTTTTTCTTTTTATGTCTATTGTTACAGACTTGCGTTCAACCTGGTTGGGTTACTGTCATGTACGATATTCTGGTCCGTGTGTTCGCCTTGCCCTGCCGTGATGTCTGCGGGTTGGCTTTATTTCTTTCTCTCTCTGCTTGCCCGTCTCTTGTATATAGTGGTTCTATTTCTATTACGATTCATCCTGTACCGTTTAACGCCCCGGCAATATGTTTGTCTGAATTGTGATAGCAGGTCCAAGCCGACCGACCCATTGATAGACCATCGACAGTTCAACCGTACCTTGGGGACTGCATGTGGTATTCTTCACTTGGGGAAACCCATGTATTGCTAGACAGGGGGAATTGGAAAATGAGGAAAGGTAGGACGACATGGATAATGGCGGCGTAAAACATTTTCCATTATATGATAAAATAATAATGCTTAAGGATGAATGAGTGGAACTTCATTTCCCTAAATGAAATAATACAATAATACAGAGAGAGGAAGTCAATACTTAATACAACTATATACGTACATCACCCAAAAGGTTCTATTCCGCCCCTTCCTCCTTGTAGGTAGCTTCATACCTGTGCGAAGAGAAATAAGTAGTTAGCAAATCCATATAATAGTATGAGACAAGTAGGAACTGGAAATACATACCTCTTCCCTCTAAACCCCCACAACCCCCAATTCCCACACGAAACATCATGCGGATCCACATCATTCAAATCCCACCGAAGACTCCGGAACTTATTCTCTCCGGGCTCCAACAGCAAATCAACCTCCCCACCACACTTCTCCATCACCCACTCCTTATCCCGCTGCATATCCCACTCCGAATATCCCGTGCACAGAATCGGCACCTTCGTCTGTAGCAGATGCGGAAGCGTCTCCTCCCACTCGTGCGAACTGGCCGGGTGTCCCAAACCAGGGTGGAAGAGCATGAAACAGTCAAAGTAAGGGTCGTACGGCTGAAACATGTTCGCCTGGTGCATCGTGTGGAAGTAATCGACGTACGTGGTGATCTTCATCAGCGCGTGTAGACGGTCTTCGACGATGCCGCCGAAGGGGTTTGCGGGGGTGCGTTCGGGAAGCGGGAACTCGTCGTCCCGGTTCGCCATGCTCTCCGGGCCGATGAAGATGAGGTTTATGAGCGCGCGCGGGAAGAGGTAGGAAAGTTGGAGCCAGACGTCGCGGGGTAGCGAGGATTCGGCGCGCGCGCCTAGAATGAAGACGCGGACTGGGGGCGCTTTTAGGCGGAGGCCGGACATTTTCGCTCCCTCGCCGGTTCTTGGCGGATGGAGGGTGTAGCGGAGGGCTAGGGATCAGATGTATTAGCATTATTATCAAGGACGTTCGTGTTCAATGTAATCTTTGGCGCAGCACTCACCGCTCAAACTCTTTAATCCTTCCGGGGTCAATCGACCACCTTTCCGAATATTATACGGGCTAAGCTCATGTAGCACACTCGCAATCGTAATGGGGTACGTGAGCAGCCTTGTCACCTGCCTCATGTGTCTATCATTATTAATAGCATCAAACTGCCTGGTATACAAAAATGTATCCCAATTCGTCATATTCACTATCGACTCATCCTCCTGCAGGCCTGGGTAGTTAAACTCCGAGAAGAACCGGCGAGACCGCAGGTCATGGTCATCCTCATTGATTTGCCGGATTGTGTCGCACACTTCCAGATGTGCCTCAAAGTCATCCATCCAATGCCCCTCGGAGCAATATATCGGTACGCCACAGTCCGGGCACTCGAAATTAGAGTGCGCTGGCGGCTGGCTCTCGCTGCTGGCTTCGGGGGATTTCCTGGCCTCGGAGTCATGAGGGGATGTGGGGACGCGTGTCTGTCGATGACTGGGATGCGGGCAGAAAGCATTCTGCTTTATGAAGGCTGCCCGCTGTCGGATTTCGGGAGAGGGGGAATTGGTGAAAGAATGGAAGAGGTTGTCCGGCTTTAGCAGGGGCTTCACATTGTATGCTGCCGAAGAGCCTGCTGCAGCCACTTGGCTAGCAGATGACGATGCGGATCTTGCGATGGCAGCTCCAGTGCTAATCTTGCTGGCTCGTGAGCCTGAGCCTGCTTGAGGGGTGTGAAAACCGGCAGTCTGTGTGCTAAGCTGCTGATATCGCTGTCCGAGGCGGGGAAGGGTCCGCGCCCGGATTGAGGAAAGATGTGGCCGAATTCCCAGTCGGAGTGCTTGCGCACATTTCTGACAGGTGAACTCCATTGCCAGTGGGAATTACGGCCGCTGGATGAGTGGGTGGGTTTTGGCTGCGTGCGTGCTGGCTGCTGGTGAAGTGTCGTCGAAAAGTTCGGGGACAAAATATTAAAGTTAGTTTACATCACGTGGATCGAATATGCCCACTTGTTCCCTGAAGAGTAACACATTTCATCTTTCTGTATAATTTAATACAAGCATCAAATGCTCGCTTACGCTCGCTTTTCTGCTTGCGCAGCCCCCTCTACCACTTCCACCCTCCCCCCCAACCACTCCCTACCCCCCCTTTACCACCCCTTCCACCCCTTACCCTCTACCCCCTCTACCACC